TAAGTCTTTCACGGATTGAGGGCAGTTTCTTTTCAAAACGTGGCACGCCATCCACGTCCCCATTTCCAGAGGTCGACGTCCCGAGCCTTTCTGAGCCGCCTGCCCCGCGGAGCGGAGCGACATGATATCCACTTGCAAGGCATAGCGCGTCGCCAGGGCCGCCGCCGCGACACGCTATGCAAAACTTCCCGACCGTAGAAGACGAAGGCGCCCAGGGATGCACAGACGAAGCGCCACACATCCCAGGGTTCCCCATATTTATCTCCCGTATCGTCTGGAGCTTCGTCTTCCCCCCCACTTCTCGAGCATGTTCGCCCATCTCTTCCTGGAGATCCGCGATTCCTAGTGCCTGCGTGCTTTGCCCCCCTTGGAGCAACAAAAAAAAAGGGCGGGAGCAGCCGAGGCACCCTCCTCGGGCGAGGGCCGCCTCCCCCGAGGTGCTCTCCGACCAGAGAGAGCCCCCCGAGGCAGTGGCCGGCCGCGGCGGCGGGGACGCCCCCGAGAGCCTCGGCAGAGGAGGAGCCCAACACTGAGACGAAAACGGGATGAGGATTACACGTCGGTCGGAAGAAGTAGGTAGAAACATGAAGTAGGAAGGCGGATTAAGTTGATTGGGTCCAGACCCCCCCAGATAATGACAAAACACAGCAAAAGCGTGTCGATTCTTGAAGTAGGAAGGCGCTTGAAGTTGATTGGGATCTGGGAATCCAAAAATACCTACTTTCAACGACCGGCGTGTATGTTGTTCCCATCCGACTTAAGGACCGCGTCCCAGAAATAAATTTCGAGCACCCGGAAGAGTGCCAAGAGAGTGCTGAATCAGTGTCTCGAAGCAGTGTCGGGCGAGTGTCTCCCAGGGCCCGACACGTGAGAACCCTGGAGGTTCGGTACTTTTGTGGGCGCTCGGAATTCTTCCTGGTGATCAAGGCTGAAGCAGGTTGGAGATCATAAGACGAGGATAACATCGGGTGAGGAGGACGAGAATCTCTAAGGTCCGGCGGTCCGTGAAGATGCCTCGGGCGCCGCGGCCTTCTCGGAGCGCTCTACGGGACGCTTGGAGGAGCGCGTGCTGGGACGCCCTGGCACGGACTCGTCCTCGGCCCCTCCACCACCCGAAGACGAAGCGCCCACGGCGTCGGGCAAGACTGCGGCCCTCGGGCCTGGACTGGTGCCCAGACGGGGGCCGCAGGCAGCGCGCTAGCGTGAGGACCGCTGCATGAGGCACGGAGGGGGCTTATCATCCGGCCACGGCGAGCTTCGGCCACGAGCAGGTTCCCCGACGACCCAGGAGGAAAAAACAGTCCTCCTCCTCCTCCTCCATCCTCGTCCTCCTCCTCCTCCTCCTCCTCCTCCTCCCCCTCCTCCTCCTCCTCCTCCATCCTCCTCCTCCTCCTCCTCCTCCTCCTCCCTCCTCCTCTCCTCCTCCTCTTCCTCCTCCTCCTCCTCCTCCCTCCCCTCCTGTTCCTCGAGAGAGCGGCCCGAGAGCGAGAGCCCCTCCCGAGCCCCCAGAGTGGCCCCTGCCTCCGCGTCTCGACGGTTCCCAAACAGTGGAGGAGGAGGAGGAGGAGGAGGAGGAGGAGGGAGGAGGAGGGAGGAGGAGGAGGAGGAGGAGGAGGAGGAGGAGGAGGAGGAGGAGGAGGAGGAGGAGGAGGAGGAGGAGGAGGGAGGAGGAGAGGAGGAGGAGGAGGAGGAGGAGGAGGAGGAGGAGGACACTGGTTAGCACGCCCGACGTTGGTACCAATCGAAAAGGCACGCCGCCCAATGGCACATGTCGTCCAACACCGACAGCGGCCGCCGTTGGGCAGGCCTCTGCCTGCCCTCAACGGACCACCTTCGCGCCGACACGGGCAACGCATCCTGCTCAGGATGGGCAGGCACTGTTGTCGATCTTCGTCCCCACTCGTTCTGTAGCAAGCTTGTTCTCACCGAGCGGGAGGCACCTTGGGCCGAGATGTCCCCCGGCAGCCTCAGACCACCAAGGACCGAGGTCCCTACACGCCTCCAATCAATGGGGCGGCCTCCGCCCCGAGGGTGCGCTCTCGTACGCTCGCTCCTCCTTGCTCCTTCCTTCTCGTCCTGCTCACTCCCTCCCCTCTCCTGGAAGGGTCAGCTGTCTGCGACTTTTCCTGGAGCATCATGTGCCGAGAAGAAATGCTTTCTCCCTCCCTTCGCCCTCTCCTGCTCCCCCCCTCTCTTGAACTCATTCATGCGAACTATGGGCAACAACGCGCTCCAAGCGGTCGACCGGTGTGGATGCAACAACTTCCGTGCGTTCCAGCGCGGCACGGCTCCGGTCAACTTTTCCTATTCGGCGTTTCGACATTGGGCGGACGGGGGGGGGTCTGGTTTCGGACCTCTGCTTAACGCGACTGTTTGCAACGGTGCGTCCTAAGGGGGAGAATCCGCCTGCTTGAAGCAGGCGCCCAAAGCGGCCAAGATCTACTCCAGGGGGCGGGGGGAGGGGGGGGGGTGCGAGGGCCCGCGCCGATTGGCAAAACAATGCACAAAGAAAACGGCGACGAGCTCAACCTCGGCGTGTTCGACCACGGGCTTCACTTTGAGGGGCAAATATAGGGGGGGACTGGCATAGGGGGGGATGCATCGACCTGGAATCGGCGACACATCGCCGATCGATCGGCGACAGGCCTCTGATAGTGAGTCCGCACCTTCCTGGGCAGGTTGGGGCTGTCGGGCCCCTATCGGCGATCAAAGGGCGATGGGGGGTCGATGCATCCCCCCCTGTGCCCATCCCCCCCCCTATCGTTGCCCCTGACACTTCTTGGCCACGAGGCTCTCCCCGTCCAGGGCACGGTCTCCCGACGGCCCCGGGGCCCCGGGGAGGGCCCGGGGGGCCCGAGACGGGCCAGCAACCTGCGGGACGCGGTCCCTGCAGGCGAAGGGCAATGCGGGGGGGGGCGTCCTCCTCCTCCTCCTCCTCCTCCTCCTCCTCCTCCTCCTCCTCCTCCATTCCGCCCCCCTCCTCCTCCTCCCCCCCCCATACGCCTCGTCGACGTTTTTGCGAAACAGCGCAGGGAGTAAACCACTGTGTGCGCTCACGGACCTCAGGGCTTCCGCCCCTTGGACCCTGAGCGGGACTTGCCCCGTTCGGCAGGATCTGCGCCTCCCCACTGGGAGTCCAGCAGCGACGTGCTCGACCAGCGTGAGCGCAGCACCGCCCGCGGCGCCAGGGGGGGCCACCCACTTTCGCCATCATAAGAGGACGTGCAACGTCCTTGTGGACGGGACGGGTGGACACCGAAGGGCACCGTAGGCCTTTCAGCAACCAGCGGTGGGCGCCATATGTCTACCGCCACCACGGGAGGAGTGCCACGGGCCCTCCACTTGCCACGGCAGCATAGGGCTCCTGCTGACCCAATCCACTGGACGCTCCAAAAATACATTCATAACCGCAAAGAGCACAACCAACCCGCGTTCACTGGCCTTCGCCCACTGGGTGCTCAGCACTCGCGAGGAGTTCAGCCAGCATCCTCTCTCATCGCTTCCCTTACTCCTCCTCGTTGTAATCCTCACCCCTCGTCCACTGGGAATTCAGCTGGTAATTAAACCTGGGGGTCATCACCATGTTTGCCCTGGTGCATGCAACCCGCGTGAGTTCCAGCAGTACCGAAGCCACGACCGCAAGGCGTGCCACCACTACGTTTTTTTTGCGAGATTGCAATCCTCCCCCACCTCTTTCAGCCCTCTTCCTGCTCGTCCTCTCGTCGTCCACTGGGAGTTCAACCGGGCGCTCAGCTGGGAGCTCGACCACAATATCCTCGTCCACTGGGCAGTCCACTGCTTGACCATCTGTCGCTGTGAGGAGAGCCAGCGCGAATTTCAACAACACCGTGTCCGCGACCACAGGGCGTTCAACCGTGACGAGCTTCATCTCTGCGGGACTGGGCCCCTCCTCTCTCCCTCCTTCATTCCTCCTCCGTCCCCCCCCCTTCTCGTGTGCTGGGAGCTCCACAGGGGTCTTCCACCTCGGAGTCCTCGTCCATTGGTGGTTACACCATTATTTGGCCTGCCATCGTGAGTTCCAGCAGCGCGAGTTCCAACAGTACTGGGTTCGGCATCACAAGACGCTCAACCATTGCGCGTTCAATCCCTACGCGTTCATTACTGTTAGAGTACACCCTTATCCCAATCTCTCTCCCTCCTTACCTCCTCTCCGTTTCTCTTTCTGCCTTTGTCAACTGGGAGCTTAAATGGGAGCTCAACCTGGAAATCCTCGTCCACTGGGTGATCAACCGCTATGTGGTCTGCCGCAACCAATGCGGGATCCAGCAATACCGAACCCGCGACAAAAAGGCTCCTCCTACGTCTTCCTGCATCCTCTCTGCTCCTCCTGCCTGCTCCTTTCTCCTCCTTCTACCTGAGGACCCAAGCTTCTGGACGTTTCCGGTCCTTCTTGGGCCTCCAGGTGCCTCCAGAGGCCTCTGGAGACCTCCTCCTCCATCCTCTTCCTCGTCCATCCTCCTCCTCCATCCTCCTCCTCCTCCTCTTTCTCCTCCTCCTCCTCCTCCTCCTCCTCTCCTCTTCGGCTTGGAGGTCTGCGGGAACACCCCCGGGGCCGTCTTCTGAAACGCCCGGGCGATAGCGTCAGCGTGTGGCCGTAGATCGGCCGCAAGATCGCTATTCTGCTTCCTCTTCTTCCTTCCTTCCTTCCCTCCCTGCCGCGCCTCCTGCCCCCCCTGCTCCTTGCAAGGCCCAAGGCCGTCCACTGCGGCTGAGGGCCCACAGCCTTCCTGCCCTCCTGCGCAGGGGTCGTTAGGGACCCAGTGCCCGAGAGCCCCGCACGCCCCCCGTTGGCTCAGGAACTGGGTGCGCGCCTGGAAGAGCCTCTGGGCCCTCTGCAGAGGAAGGAGCAAGGTTCCCCCAGACACAGAGAGGTGGCAGCATGTGCTGGGCGCGCCTGTCATCGCCGACCCCTTCCCAGGAAGCACACGGTGGACTGATCCATTGCTTCATCGAGCGGCTGATGAGTGGAATGATTTGATTTTGCCTCATCGTGCTCGTATCTGCTACCTCGTGCAGAGGGTGCGCCCGTCAGAAGCAAGGGCAGTGCACGACCTTGACTGTGTCAGGGTGGCGCTTCTTCGGCGGTTCACCTCGGGTCCGTGCTTTTCTTGTCCCTTCCAGGCGCGTCGAGAATAGCGTTGCAACCGCCGCGACGCCACACAACACCAGAGACACCTTCTGCATGCCAAACCAGCGGGGATCCCCGAATACAGGAATCGAAAAATTGATAGCCATCTTCACAATACCTTCTAGAACATACACACCATTGTCGAATATCTTGATGTACGTATCGCCCCGGTTTTGGGATTCCATTGCTCGGCGGACTGTCATTCTCACGTTCTCCCTTAGTCCACAACTGAAAGCTTCACCCAAACCAAACGCAATTCCAGAACAAACGAAGAAAACATGCGACGAAGCCTGCGAGAGTAAGCCGTGTGCGATGGTTAGGAAGAAAAAACTCAAGGTAGCCGCAACGTGCAATCCGCTTTTGTCCGCGCTCACTCTTGCAAACCCGCCATCAACAATCAAAGGCGTCAGAACTATCCCAATCAGACTGATTAGATGACAACCGCTGTTGATATGTGCGGATGTTTCGGGTGAGATGTGAGGAGAATTGTTCGCCACGTACGTCAACGTTCGAGGCCAGGTGCTCCTTGTGATATCAGTGAATATGGAGAAACTGAGCACTGTGACGGCGGCGTCCATATTACCGTAGAGTACAGACCACTTGGTAGCCTGCGACTCCTCCGTTGCCTTGCCACCCGAAGCTGCAGCTCTTAGAGGATCGCTGACCCGTGGCCTCTGAGCTTTGGGATTTGCTGCCCTGGATGCCCAGTGTGACCAGCCGCCCAGGATAAGATTAGCGACTGTGGCGAAGACAAAGACGCCACGAAAACTGAGAGCGGACAACCGGGCAACTGTGATTCCTACTTGCACCCCCACGGCCACACTGAGATATCGACAACCCACTTGCAGACTGGCGCCTACAGAATCGTCTTCGCGATCACACCACCGCCGCCGGAACGTCGAGAAAGGCGTGGGAGGAGTCAGACTCCTCACAATACAGCTTGCTGCGATGCAGATGCAAATCGCCCAAAAGTTTCCTGACGGAGACCATGCGATCATGAAGCTGCTAAGAGCACAACCGAGACACGAGACCCACTGTGCATCCCACCAGTCCAGATTCTTTGCGATGCGGTCGTTATACGAGGTCGAATTCAGAAGCAAGTCGAACAAGCCACTGAAGACCTCGATGAAGCCGATGTAGCTTTGACTCAAACCGAGCTGCACTGTAACAAACAGCGGGTATACTTGTACATTGCACGTGCTGTCAATCGTCATGCTTGCCAGATAAGGGACGTACAACATCTCCAATACCGAGACCGCCCTCGGAGGCTCTGTATAGTCGAGTTGTGCCGTCTCATCAGTCGTCTCATCAATAATGTAGCGATCTCCCTGGGCAACGAACACCCTCCCACCGTATTTAGACAGATAACCCAGAAGCATCCCCATTCCAAATCCTTGCGGGCGCACATCCTCGCTGTCGCCCAGAAGTGGCTCGCTGCCGGATGCCATTCAGCAGACTAATGAGGATTGTGGAAGATCCCTGGGGCGAGAATAATATGCAACTTAGCTTTGAGCGGTTGCCCTGGGGCGAGATGGATGGATGTCCCTGTCCCCAGGATCGGAGTAGAAGGCCCCTGGGAGAGCAGCCAGAGATGAGGGAACGCCGATACGTCGCCAGGAGGAGGTGCAGAAAGACGAGGAGTTCCTGAAACACCAAGCTGTTTTATTGCTTTCGCATACTTGCGTTTTCGGTTTTTGAGCGTTCAATGCGGGCCGAAATCCCCGAACATATCGCCGCAAGGCAGCCCTCAATCGGCGGCGAGCGAGGGGGGGAAATGAGAAGGGGCGGGCCTTATCAGAAGGCTGAGCAGTCCCGAAGCCTTCGCAGAAGATTTCCAAGCCTTCCCCGAAGACACAACCAACCTCTTAGAAGGCCGAAGGCCTTCTGAGAAGCCCCGCCGCCTTCTGAGAGCGCCTCCTCCTTCTCACTTCCCCCCCTCGCTCGCAGACTCAAAACAACTCCGAGAAGCGCCCAACTGGGGAACAAGTCGAACCGACTTTTTGGAGACCTCCGCCCCAAGATGGCCACCGGGACCGCCAGGAGGCCCCGGCGAGTCGCCCGAGATGCCTCCGGGTGCCCCCAAGAGGTCCCCAGGAGGCCCCAGCGACACCTCCAACACGCCCCCAAGATGTCCCCAAGAGGACTTCAAGAGGTCGGGAGGGAGGGGGAGGGAGGGGGGGAGGAGGAGGGCGGAGGAAGGCGGAGGAGGACTGGGGAGGGAGGAGGAGGAGGAGGAGGATGAGGAGTTGGAGGGAGGGGGAGGAGGAGGAGGAGGAGGAGGAGGAGGAGGAGGAGGAGGAGGAGGAGGAGGAGGAGGAGGAGGGAGGAGGACCAAGCGCACTATAGGCTTAAAGGGTACCAAAACCCATCTTTAAGGATGAGGCGGCCATCAGCGAACTACTAGAGACTGCGCGACTGCGAGAGATACAGAATCTAGTAGTTGGCCGACCGCAGGCCACATCCTCAAAGTCGGAGGTACTGCCGAAAACTATCGGCCATCTGCTGACACCAGGGGGGTCCATGTACCCGTTTTGCCTTTGCCAGCGGCCGTGAAGACGTCTTCCACCCCACCTATAGTTTTTCAGGAGGAGGAGGAGGAGCTCCCCAGGGGCCCCCAGGAAGCCTCCAGGTGGCCTCCCGTCGGCGATCCAGGCTCGGTGGCGGGATGGTGGCCCAACGCCGAAGGTCGCTGCTCTCTCTCTCTCTCTATCTTTTCTACGCTCGACGCTCAGGTCGGGCCTGTCCCCCTACAGGGGGATCTTGGGCGAAGAACTGAACATACGCAAAAACTTCTCCCAGAATGCTCCAACAGATTCAAGAAATCGTCCCCAGACTATTTTTGACTATTTTTGAAAATCCTCCTGTAGAGGGACAGGCCCGACTTAATTCTACGCTCGACGCAGAAATTACCCTGTGACGTACCCAATCCTTTCTATACATGTGGCGATTCTACTCAGGACCACTCAATGCTGACTGGCATTCTGAAGGACCCGCAGTGCGCAAGAAGAGCACCCAACAGTGATTTCAGAAGAGCGCAGCAAGAAAAGGACCGGCAACTATACAAACTGGAAACACAGGGGCGTTGAACGAAACGCGCATGACGTACCAGTGAATCATCCACGTGGGACGTACCTTCGCTGGGCCTCCCAGGAGCCCACGAAAGTGGCGACAATTGCGCAGATCGCAAGCCCCCCAGGGGGCGCCGAGGTCCCAAGGTGATCCGCGTGGGACCCACCTCCGCTAGGCCTCCCAGGAGCCCACGAAAGTGGCGACAGTTGCGAACATCGCAAGCCCCCCAAGGGCGGCGAGGTCCCGAGGTGATCCGCGTGGGACCCACCTCCGCTGGGCCTCCCAGGAGCCCACGAACGTGGCGACAATTGCGCAGATCGCAAGCCCCCAAGGCACCGCGAGGTCTCGAGGTGATCCGCGTGGGACCCACCTCCGCTAGGCCTCCCAGGAGCCCACGAAAGTGGCGACAATTGCGCAGACCGCAACCCTCAGGGCACCGCGAGGTCTCGAGGTGATCCGCGATGGAACCACCTCCGATGGGCCTCCCAAGAGCCCACGACAATGACAACAGTTGCACAGATCGCAAGCCCCCCAGGGGGCGGCGAGGTCCCGAGGTGATCCGCGTGGGACCCACCTCCGCTGGGCCTCCCAGGAGCCCACGACAGTGGCGACAGTTGCGCAGATCGCAAGCCCCCAAGGGGCGGCGACGTCCCGAGGTGATCCGCGTGGGACGTACCTCCGCTGGGCCTCCCAAGAGCCCACGAAAATGGCGACAATTGCGCAGATCGTAGCCCCCAAGGCACCGCGAAATCTCGAGGTGATCCGCGTGGGACGTACCTCCGCTGGGCATCCCAGGAGCCCACAAAAATGGCGACAGTTGCGCAGATCGCAAGCGCCCCAGGGGGCGGCGAGGTCCCGATGTGATCCGCGTGGGACGTACCTCCGCTGGGCCTCCCAGGAGCCCACGAAAGTGGCGACAATTGCGCAGATCGCAACCCCCAAGGCACGGCGAGGTCCCGATGTGATCCGCGTGGGACCCACCTCCGCTGGGCCTCCCAGGAGCCCACGAAAGTGGCGACGATTGCGCAGATCGCAGCCCCCAAGGCACGGCGAGGTCCCGATGTGATCCGCGTGGGACCTACCTCCGCTGGGCCTCCCAGGAACCCACGAAAATGGCGACAATTGCGCAGATCGCAGCCCCCAGGGCACGGCGTGGGGTCGAGGTGATCCGCGTGGGACGTACCTCCGCTGGGCCTCCCAGGAACCCACGAACGTGGCGACAGTTGCGCAGATCGCAGCCCTCAGGGCACCGCGAGGTCGAGGTGATCCGCGTGGGACGTACCTCCGCTGGGCCTCCCAGGAGCCCACGAAAGTGGCGACAATTGCGCAGATCGCAGCCCCCAAAGCACGGCATGGTCTCGAGGTGATCCGCGTGGGACCCACCTCCGCTGGGCCTCCCAGGAGCCCACGAACGTGGCGACAGTTGCGCAGATCGCGGCCCTCAGGGCACCGCGAGGTCTCGACGTGCTCCGCGTGGGACCCGCCTCCGCTGGGTCTCCCAAGAGCCCACGAACGTGGCGACAATTGCGCAGACCGCAGCCCCCAGGGCACCGCGAGGTCTCGAGGTGATCCGCGTGGGACCCACCTCCGCTGGGCCTCCCAGGAGCCCACGAACGTGGCGCCAGTTGCGCAGATCGCAGCCCCCAAGGCACGGCGTGGTCTCGGGGTGATCCGCGTGGGACCCACCTCCGCTGGGCCTCCCAGGAACCCACGAAAGTGTCAACAGTTTCGCAGATCGCAGCCCGACGGCAGGAGAGGAGACACAGGAAACACAGGAAACACATGAAACATGAGAGGAGACGCAGATCGCAGCCCGAGGGGAACACAGGAAACAGGAGAGGCGGAGGGGAGGAGGGGGGGGAGGAGAAGAAGGACGGGGCGACCACTCTGCTCTATTCAAAACGAGTGCCCAACCATAGGAGTGTTGGGAAAACAACACGCAATCAACGTGGCCATCCTGGCTGCCTTTGGCACAATGGCTCTTGGTTGCGCACAGACACCCCGCTCCCCCAAGCAGTCCCCGACGGCCCGAACAAGCCCCTCGAAACGTCCGGGGCGAGCGCGGCATCCCCACCCAGGGGCGCCGCGGGCGGCGGCGCCAGAGTGCCGAGACCGCCCAGGACTGCTCGGGGAGCCTGTCGAGGCCAACTGGGGCTGCCTCATGGGGGTGCGGTCCGTGCGCGACCCGAAGCCTTGCCATTCCTGGCTGGGCCCTGGTGCACAGCACCGCGAGGGGAGCCGCAGGTAAGGCGTCAAGGTCAGGCGTGTGGGTGGGGCGTCGGGGAAGAAAACATAACGGCCAACGCGTCGGGCCAGAGATCGCGGGCGTCCCGAGATGTCCGGCCAGGCCGCTCGCCAATATTAGTTCGTTCCGCGAGCCGTCCTGCACCCGCGTGAACTTGTTGTCATCACCGTGTGTGCACCCCATGGTCGCAATGGTTCCACTGAGGGCCTGGCTGACTAGCCGCGCACAGGTTGAACAACTTAGTTCGCTGCGCACTCAACATGGGCAGAGCGGCTGAACGGTCCTCTTCTGTGGCACCGCGCCGCGTTGGGCAGAACGACGCATACGAGGCAAATTCGTTCATTTGGGAACTCCCGCCAGAGCATGGGAAGCTTACAAGAAACAAAGGCCGTTGACGCAGAAATAATAATCCCGCACGCCTCCCATCCGCAACGCTCAACGATCGGATCTAAGGGCACCTGATTTGCAACAAAGGTTCCAATGCGACGTGTTCGACGTCCACGAGATGCTGCGGCTGCCAGACTCTGCACTATTCTGTACGGCCACCGTCTTGGTTGAGTCGGTGGAGCCCAACGTGGAGACTAACGGAACCGCCACGTCTGGATCCACAATGACTTTGCAAGTGCCCAGGCCAGAACCGATCATACATTCTGCGCGGTGCACTCAGCTTCACCATCTGAACTGACCCCTTTTAACCATTCATTGTCAGTGGTCTTCACTTTCACCACTCCATCAACGCTTAGCTTCATCGCCTGAGCGCTGACGAATACGAACTTCGCCCTCTTGACATAACTAGCGCAAATCATCCTCACTGCGATATGGTATGCTAGACGTGAAAATTGTGATGGTGCAGGAAAACTTTGGGCAAACGATCTTAAACAAACACGGTATTGGCCAACCAATACAATACTTCCGTAGTTGGACCACCATCTATCCGCGACCGTGCTGTAGGCACTGGGTGGAGTCCTCAGTGTTGAGTGTTGCAATGATCTTGAAGAAACCTGGAGCCCAAGGGACGGGCGCTCTTGAGCGCTTCTGGCGCTTCTCGAGTGTCTTCTCTGGCCCCATGAGCGTGGTTTGGGATATGCGTGTCCAGCATGTCCTTGGACGGCCCCAGCGGCCCGTTCTGGAGCCCTTTCGGAGCCTCTGTGGCCGTCTTGGAGGCCCACACCGTCCACATCCCCTCTCGTTTTACGGTCGGAGCTTGGGGGGTGAGATCGAAGTGGAACGGAGAACTCCCCACCGAGAAATCGGTTTCGGTTTCGGGTTCGTGTCGTGCGTGCGGGTGAAGCGAAGCTGCGTGGGCGGGCGAGAGGAATGGCTCCGCTGTGGCCAGGGCGGGTAAAGACAAAAGACCACCCCTCTGGTGGACCAGCGTGGCGGGGGGTATCCCGCCGTGGTGTCCCGTCGGTGCCCGTGGGCGGGCTGGGAGTGTCCCGCCGTGGTGTCCCGTCGGTGTCCCGTCGGTGCCCCGACGGTGTCCCGTCGGTGTGTTAGTCAATTGCCATCACGCGGTGTCGTCAGCATCGTCGTCTTGCATTGTCGCCAACTCGTGAGCGCATCGCCAGCATCGCCACCATCACAATCATCGCAGTCATCGTCAGTCGGTTCTTTCCGACCCAAGCCTCCTTATCACCCGATGGGCGGTCGTATAGGTATGATTTTGATGTGATCGAGTTTTTGGTCTCAAGAGCGTCCACGACGGGATGGGTCGCATGACGCTGTATATACATATATAGATATATGTGTAGAGAGCAGCGGGCATGACGATGTGGATGATACCTGGGAGATATCCACCACCGTGCCGTGCGCACGCAGTGAGGTGCCCCAAGGTTTGTCTACAACTACAAGAAGATTCGGGCATCCATGGCCCGAGCCCCCGACGGCGCCGAAATCTGCGGGTGCGCTCTGCGTGAGCCTGTCCGGCACCAAACTGGTGGAAACACCTTCGGGCATGCTTCTCTTATATTGTTCCCAACCTTCCTGTGGTGCTGGGTCTCGTTTTGAGGAGACGGCGCCCCGTGTTATCCTTCCTCCTCCTCATCCCGCTCCTCCTCCCTCCTCCCATCCCTGCCTCTGCGGTCCTTCCCCTCCTCCATCGCCATCATCATCATCATCATCATCATCATCATCACCACCACCATCATCATCATCATCGTCATCACCATCAGCATCGTCATCATCATGCTCATTATGGTCATGACCATGATCACGATCACCATCATGAGCATCATCATCATCACCATCATCATCATCATCACCATCACCACCACCATCATCATCATCACTATCATCAGCGTCATCATCACTATCATCATCATCATCGCCGTCATCGTCATCGTCATCGTCATCATCATCATCATCGCCATCGTCATCACCATCATTCCCATCATCATCATACCATCATCACCACCATCATCATCAGCATCACCACCAGCTCATCATCATCACCACCAGCATCATTTCCATCATCACCATCAGCAGCATCATCATCATCATCATCACCAGCATCAACATCAAGATCATCGTCAACATCATCATCAACATGATCATCATGATCATCATGATCATCATGATCATCATGATCATCATCATCATCATCATCATCATCATCATCATCATCATTATCATCATTATCATCATTATCATCATTCTCATCACTCTCATCATCACCATAAGCATCAGCACCAGCATCACCAGCATCAACATCAAGGTCAACATCATTTGCTGGACTTTGCCTTGAGAAATCAATCATCCTGACCCCCGGCACGCGAAGGAATGGACCGCCCCCCTGTTCCGTTTCCGGGAAATCTGGGAATTCCGGGAAATCCGGCGACGAATTTCAAACTGGCGCCCTCGCGTGGGACATTCTCAGAAAAGCGGCTCCCCGAGCCTCCCCGAGAGGCCCTCAAAGGGCCCACTTGATCGGACAAGAACGGGAAGCGCCGACTTTGTTCATTGGGCTCGTAGGCGGGACACTGAGAAAAGGATGATGGCGACGACGGGGCAGCGGATGTCGAGGATGGCAGCGTGGTTCGCTTCGGCCCCAAATTCGTTCTCCCATATACATCAGACCCTCTCTGGAGAGGGCGCGATACAGGAACCCCGCGTCGAAACCTTGTGCGCGCGCTTCTCGTATACACCAAGACCCCCTAGTCTTGACCGTTTGCACCAAGGCTCGTCTGACGCAATGGCTAGTGAGAGCTTGGGTTGGAAAACTCCTTTGGCCTGCAAGCGCCGATTGGAGAATACACGAGACGACAGGAGGCGTGGAAAACGGTTGTGGAGGATTAGGAGCAGGAGGTGGGGATGACATGCCCCATCGCTTCGGGGTCTCGCGGCGCCCTGGAGCCGAGCGAAAGGCCCTGGAGTCCTGGCCTTCGCAGGCAGCGCCAAAGAGAGTCCGCCATGGCGCCCGGACCGCAGCTCGGCCCCCCCTCTCCTAATCATGGTTGTCGCCGCCATCCCATTCTTCCCTCCCCCACCCTCCTCCTTCCCACCTTCACCGACGGCCCCAGTGGCGCAGCCTGCATGCGTCCCAGCCACCCACATCGGCCCTAACACGTTTCGCGGCCCCATCGGGAGCTCCACCGAACGCCCCAGTGGCGCAGCCCGCATGCGTCCCAGCCACCAATTTTGGCACACCCCTCACACGCTTCGTGGTCCCACAAGGAGCTCCACCGAAGGCTCTAGTGGCGCAGCCCGCATGCGTCCCAGCTACCCGTTTCGGCATACCCCTCACACTTTTCGTGGCCCCATAGGGGAGCGCTAGCGAACGCCCCCGTGGCGCAGCCCGCATGCGTCCCAGCCGCCCGTTTCGGCTCACCCCTCGCACGCTTCGTGGGCCCATGGGGAGCACCACCGAAGGCCCCAGCGGCGCAGCCATCCCACCCACTCGTTTCGGCACACCCCTCGCACGCATCGTGGCCTCATTCGGCGGTCACGGGCTTGACAACAGCCAACACTAGCATTAAATCGGGCCCGTCCCTCTACAGGCAGAATGTTCAAAAATAGTCAAAAATCGTCTGGGGACGATGATGATGATGATGCTGATGATGCTGATGATGATGATGATGATGATGATGATGATGATGATGATGATGATGATGATTATTGCTCCACCGAAGGCCCCCGCGGCGCAGCCCGCATGCGTTCCCGCCACCCACTTCGGCACGCACGCCTCACGCGTGCCGTGGCCCTACACGGGGCTGTACGGCCTTGTGGCAGAGCCCGCCTGGCGGCCCCGCCCGACCTCGGCACGCCTCTTCGTGCGTCCCGCAGCCCAGGAAGGAGACCCACCGACGGCGATGCTCGCAACGACGGTAATTGCATGCGGGTTGGATTGGACAGGACGCGCGAGAGGACACAAGACCCTTCCGAGGCTCACATCGCCATAGGAATGCAGGAGGCATGGGCCGCGAGACCCAGGACACAAAAGAGTACCCTTGACTTGGCAGGGTCGACCTACTACTCTGGGCCGACTGTACAACTGCCTACGGTTGGGTCTTTCGCCAGGCTTAATTTTTTGGGGGGGGAGGAGGCAGGGTGGGGCGGGGGGAGGGCAAGCGCCCGAGAACCTCTCCCGCCCCAAGCAGCCCGGGGCAAACCCCGGAGGCCCCCCCCGAGACCCCGGAAGGCGCACGACAGACTTCCTGGAGGCCGCCAGGGCACGGTGGCGGGATGGGCCGGAGGGAGGCCACTGCCCGATGGTCTACCGGCCTGCTATCAAGCTGGGCATCTTCGGCTACACGCAAGAGTGACGCTGGGTAAGAGTGACCTCTGGTGCGCGGCTCTTTGGGGGGGCCGCGGGGGGCCCCAACCCAAGCGCGCAAGACGCTGCTAGCGCATCGCGTTCGGCGATCGGGGGGCCCCAATGGGACTGTGCCAAAGATCACTCCGGCGAAGGTTCGCTCTTACTTGCAGTCGATGTCTACTCACGAATCTTAGGTCGGGCATGTCTACTAGGCGGATTTTGAAAGAAAAGTGACAAATAGCAAGAAAAAGCCCCAAACGAGTCAAACATAGTCAGACAGATCATCCCCAGACTATTGTTTGACTAGTTTCGAATCTCCCCCCTGTGGAGGGACCTGCCCGACCTCACACCGATCACAGGACAGAAGACCACCGCGGGGCGGACAGCCGCACAGGGGCAGCCACGAAAAGCCACGGAACGGCGGCGGGACACCCACCGCGGGACCACCGCGGGGCAGCTGGGACAACCGCGCGGGCCGACCGCGGGATCGCTCGCGGGCCACCGCCTCCCTCTCGGTAGACGAAGCATGTCTGTCGAACTTGGCTCGAGCTTTAGGTCGGGCGTGTCCCCCTGCAGGCGGACGTTGGGCGCAGAAAGCAATAGTCAAGCAACGATGAGCGAACAGCCACAAATAGTAGAAAGGTCGCCCCCAGACTATTTTTGTTGACAATGTTTGAATACTCCTCCTGTAGAGGGACACGCCCGACTGAACGCTTAGCTACTGCAAGCGACCCCGTCTGGCTTTTGCGCGCACAGCTTCGCCTAGCCTGCGCGCGCGACGTGAAACGAAACAGCACCGGCACATATTCACTGGCTGGTCTCACGCCCAACCTTCAACGATGACGACTGCGATGACGATGACAAGGGCGATAACGACAAAATCGACAATGCACCGCAAGGAGCATAATGACCGGGGGGATATGCAAATCCCTGAGTGGATGGGGAAGGAGGTGGGGAGGAGACACACGAAACATCAAGAACGTAAGCAAGAGCAGGAGCAGGAACACTATTATGATCCGTCGTATCACTGACAAAGGAAGGAAGAGCAGCAACAACCGGAAACTGAAAAAGGATGATGGCGAGGAGAGGGAGCGGGAGTGAGAGAGGAAGAGGGAGGATCACCAGGAGGAGGAACAGGAGGAGGAGGAGGAGGAAGAGGAGGAGCAGCAGGATGAGCAGGAAGGGGATGACGGTCAGGAGACACCTCCTTGACCTCCTCCTGCCTCTGCTGCTGCTGCTGCTGCTGCTAATCCTGGTCTTCCTGCTGCTTCCGCTTCTCTTTTTCCTCCAGCTTCCCCCTGCTCGTCTCTCTAGATTCGTCGCCCCCCTGGGGGCCACAGTCGCCTCGGGTGTTGCCAGAGGCGTCCCCGGCCCCAGGTGCCCCCCGGGATCTCCAAGGAGG